TCCTGCGAGCTGTCATTGTCCGCTTCCTCAACTACTGTTGGTGCTGGGACCTGGAGGCCGGATTTGTGAGTGCTCACAATTTGTGTCAGCATCTACTAGTCGGGTAGCAGCACGGTCTATTCCTTATTATCAAGGAGTCACCATACGCTCAATTTGTTCTTGATCAGGTTTCTTCTGGTACACATGCAGCAGAAAGGGGCTCTTACTATATTTATGCTAATGATGTACTGTATTATTGATGTACAAGTACATCACCGTGTATTGCATCAAGTTAACCTGATACATTCCAACGTGGCATCAAGATAGATGATCCCAAGAAGTGAGTGAAACATTGCACTGCACTGCGAACTTAATTACAGGAAGTGAGACACATGATTAAAGCTGCTCAGGGAGGAGAGTCATGTTTAAAATTGAACTGTTTTAAATTATGTTCAAATGCTTGCGATTTGTTTACTCCAGCCTTCATATGGTGAGTTTGACATCAGTGGAAATGTGCTGGGTCTCATCTTCAATCAAGGAATGATATGGTGATTTGGGAACATTTAGTAACGTAACACTGCAGCATCCCGATGAAGATTTGCTTTGCTAACCATGATTTTTCTTTCAGGATGGGTGCATTTTACGCTCCAGGGCTGGTGGGTCTGAATGTATTGCGTCTCCTCTGTTCGATGTACTATCAATGTTGGGCTGTGATGGCCTGTAATGTTCCTCACGAACGAGTCTTCAAGGCCTCACGCTCCAACAACTTCTACATGGGTCTGCTGCTGCTTGTACTCTTCCTTAGTCTGCTGCCAGTGGTCTATACTATAATGACACTGTCTCCATCATTTGACTGTGGGCCATTCAGGTCAGTAATGGGCTGTATACTTTGGACATAATATAAAAGTAGTGGATGAAATAACTTCTCATTTAAAGGTTAAGCTACAAAACTGAAAATAAATTGTATTTGATAATTTCATTTGACTTGCAGTGGCCAAGAGAAGATGTACGACGTAGTCATGGAGACTATAGAGCAGGATCTTCCTTCCTTCATTGGGGACATATTTGGCTATGCCACCAACCCTGGGCTTATCATGCCTGCTGTACTTCTTATGGTGTAAGTTAAAATGAAATGTACCATCACAAATTAAGTCATGCTTCACGTTCATGACCAGCAGTATTATGCAAAGACTACCAGATATAAACATATGCATTAGGTTACTCAAAAACTCAAGATTGTCCATC